CAGGAATTCCAAAAATATTCACTTTTGTTCCAATGTAGAGTGAAAACAATACCTCTCAGTTTCCCAGGAAACAGAAATGCTGAGTTTGAATCAAGAGTCACAAGCACTGTTCTCCACTCTGCACCAAAAAGGGTCAGCCATGAATTTATAAGCACAGCTGTGGTCCTCTAGAGAGTGCAAAGAAATTTTCCCAATTGGTTTAATTTACACAGAATAGAGATCTGCAATCCTGCTACAAGGTTAGGTTCTTGCAGCTCCTGAGCCATGAGTTTCCAACCTTTGCCCTAACAATTAATTAAACTAGCAAAATTCAGAGAAGGGGAGGAACTAGTTTCTAATCTGCAGGATTAGAACTCGGTCCTCAACACCCCCATCAAGGCCAACATCCAAAAACATGTCTTGCATCAAAGAAAGAGACTGGAATGCAGCTGAGGTTTAATCACTGGGGATTCAAGATCTTCATTCTGTGTTTGTACAGCACCTAGCACCGCACAGTCCTGGTCCATGACTAGGGCTCCTAGGCACTACTGTCATACAAACAAACAAACCCGGGCCTAGTCCTGAGGAAGCTAAGGAACAGTGAGTACAATTTTTAAAAACACCTAAGTAATTTAGGAGCCTAAGTCCCATTTTCAGAAGGGATTCAGGTGCTTTTAAAAAAAAATGTATCCAATACCTTTGTGTAAAGTATATTTATAAAAAAGCCTAGGCCATAATGTAGTTGAACTCAGCACAATGGGCCACATGGTTAGTAAGAAATCTTAGGGCTTGTGCTCACCGGAAAGTTTTATTAGTTGTAACAGTATTTAATTATACTGAGATATGGGTATAAATCCAGGGTGGACATTCTTATTCCAATTGACAAGTGTTTTTTTTTCCAATTTAACTTAACTCCCTTTCCAAGCAATATCAACTACACTGAAAGAGACCACTCATACCAGAATTAGGGGAGTCCACACAGGAGGGATGATACGTGGCTTAATTAGATCGGTTTAGATTCACTCCTTAGTTTATACCAGTATAATTTTGCTGTTTAGACAAGCCCTTAACCTTGGCCCCAGAATTTCAAGAGACTGTTTCCTAGTGAAGTGGTGAAGCATTGCTTAAATTAAGGCCAAAGCACTTTCACATGCCCTCCAGGCATGAAAGGATTGGGCTTTCTTCCCTGACTGGGAGATTACCATTGGCGATATTGAAATGCCAGTAGTGATTCTGGCAGACGCAGCCTACCCCTTACTCCCCTGGCTCATGAAGACATGCACCAGCCTCCTCAACTGCACCAAGGCTCAGCAGGTGCAGTATGACAATCAAATGTGTTTTTGGTAGATTGAAAGGGTGATGGTGTTGTTTACTCATAAGATTTACTCCAGGGGGCACAGAATTCATATGGCCCGCTTATTTCTGTGCCCCTCTGCGCAGAAAAATACAAAAGAAATCTGCAGGAGGATACATGCCTCTTCCCTGGCAGTGCGTCTATTACAGTGTTCCTGGAGAGCCTGAGGCCTGGTCTACACTAAAAAGTTAGGTTGAAGGAAGCCGCCTTAAGTCGACCTGTTAATTTAATGTATGTGTCTGCACTACCGGATCCTTTACGCTGATCTAAGTCGCCTCTAATGTCGAGTTCTGTAATCCACCTCTGCGAGAGGCATAGCACTTAATTTGATTTTCATGGGTCAACCGTGAGGTAGTGCAGAAGCAGCGCTGTGTAATTCAATTTAATTGGCCTGCAGGTGGTGTCCCACACTGCTCATCTGTGACCGCTCTGGAGATGATTCTCAACTCTGCTGCACTTCAGCCAGGTACGCAGGAAACAGCCCCTCCTCTGCTAAAGCCCCAGGAATTTTTGATTTCCCATTTCCTGTTTGATCAACATTGGGAGCATGCCAGCTTGACCACAGCTGATCATGGAGACTACACGCCCCAAATGCGCTCCAGCCTGGTCTGCACGGGAGGTGGTGGATCGCATCGCTGTGTGGGGAGAAGAGTCTGTGCAGGCAGAGCTCTGATCCAGCAGAAGAAAGGCTGACATCTATGCAAAGATCGCTCATGGAATGGGGGAGAAGGGCTACACGAGGGACACACAGCAGTGCCATGTGAAAATAAAAGAACTTAGCCAAGCATACCAGAAGGCAAGGGAGGTGAACAGTCATTCTGGTGCTGAATCCCACACATGCCGGTTATACAACGAGCTGCATACGATTCTCGGGGGGTGACTACCAGCACCTCCACAAGCAATGTGGACATCTCACAGGTGTGTGAGTCTAGGGAAAACAAGGACAATGATATAGTGGATGAGATAGAGGAGGAAGAGAATGGGAGACAAGCGAGCGGTGGATCCATTCTCCCCTAGAGCCAGGAAATATTGAGAACATGGAGGATTTCACTGTCCGAGAAGTTAGACATGGACATTGAGAGTAGGAAAGCTTCCAATGAGCAAGAGCGTGTGGTGCAGGATGAGATGCTTCTGATTATGAGGGACCAAGCAGACACGTTGAGGCATCTGGTTGAACTGCAGGAACAGAAGCAGGAGTAGAGTCCCTCTGCAGACCCTGGTGGACAGCCAGCATTGCCTGGTGCAGAATCACCCTCCCCTAAGCGTTCCATGAGGCGTGGGTGAAAAGTCCATTATCCTTTTCCCTTAACTCAGGGGGTGGGTACAAGGAACCTTTGATGGTCTGGAATGCGGTGTTACATTACACAGCTGAAAATGTTTCTTCCGTTCCAACTTTACAACCCCTTTTCCTCAAGGTTACCTTTTTTTATATTTTTCCTGTTCTCCTTCTTTATTTATGTTTGTTAAAGTAAATGGATTTGAGAAATAAATGTTCTTTATTGAGTAGAAGCAGTGGGCTTGGGTGGAGGGTTGGCTTTACAGGGACAGTGACACAAGCCAGGTGAAGGTTTGGGAAAGCACAATACTGACAAGCAGCTCACATTACTGTAACTCATTATTGAAACAGCTTTTCAAAGCCTCGCGGATACGTGGCGCCCCTTGTTGTGCTCTTCTTATTGCCCTGGTGTCTGGCTGTTCAAAAATGGCTGCCATGCGATCTGTCTCAACTGCCCACCCCTGTGGAAAAATTTCCCCCTTTATTTCACAGATATTAGGGAGCACACAGCAGACAGCTATAACCAGGGGAGTCTAATGCCAAGATGGGGATATGCGTGCCATCTATCGCCCTACTGCAATTAGGGAACCCCATCACAGCAAAACCATCCACTATGTTTTGCACATTTCCCAGACTCTGCCCTTCGTAGCAGAAGTCGATTAATAGCCCTGTACACTTAGAGCACAGCAGCTCCCACAGTTGATTTACCTACTGCAAATTGATTCCCCGCTGACCAGTAACTGTCTGGTGTTGCAAGCTTCCAAATAGTGATCGCCACTCACTTCTCCACTGTCAGAGCAGATCTCACTTTTGTGTTGCTGAACTGCACGGCAGGGGAAAGCTCTGAACAAAGTTCCTGGAAGGTGGCCTTCCTCATTCGAAAGTTCTGCAGCCACTGCTCATCATCCCATACCTGCAAAACGATGCGGTCCCACCAGGCAGTGCTTGTTTCACTGGACCAGAAATGGAACTCAACAGACTGCAGCTGCTCTGTGACTGCCAGCAGCAACCGTGGATTGTTTTTTCAATGGCTTGCAGCAGGACGGCTTCCAAGACATCCCTATGTTCCGCACGGCGGACCCTACTTTGGCTCTGGAAATACTGCAGGAGAAGGTGCGAGGTGGTTGAGATGCTCACAGCAAGAGTGTACAACTGAGCAGGCTCCATGCTTCTGGGGTTATGGTGTACGTACGGAGATTTTAAGGCGCGAAAAACCACTCGATTGTTTGCCGTTGATATCAGCGAGGGAGCACAGTGCATCATGGGATGCCAACGCAATGCTGCCATTCTCCCCTGCGACAATGTTTTGGTCCCATGAGGCATTGTACAAACTTCCCAAAACACACTGTGGCAAGTTACACTTTGGGATAGCTACCCACGATGCACTACTTTGTGCATTGATGCAGGCACTGCTAGTGAGGATGTATTCCATCGAGACAATGAGTCTGGTGTGGCCACGCACAGCAGACTTAATTAATTTGGAGGCTTGAGATCGAATTAGATAAAGTCGACTTAATTTTGGAGTGTAGACAAGCCCTCAGAGATGCAAATCACTGCAGGGGGAGAGGGCCTGGGCATGCGTGCCTGCCAACAAGCGAAAGAGACTCTGTCCCTCTCACTTGCTACTGCAACTCGCCGGGGGTGTGGAGGGGTAGGTCTTTTTATTATGCATAAGGAAGGTTCTTTCCTGGAGGCAGAAATGTAGCAGCCTGCCTGCGAGTAACATTGTTAATGTTCCTATTGTTAGTTAACTGTTCACATTCTCAGTCAATTCCCCCAGGAGCATAAAGCCTGTAAAAGTTAAGGCCCCTACATTGTGAGAGTGATGTAAAGTCTTATAAATGACCGTAAGGGAGTCAGCTAGGAAGATCATCTTTGTGCTTTTTCACTTTTTTCCTGTGCCAAAGTGGCAAAATGGGGTTAGATTACAGCTCAGGATTTTACTTACCCATTAAAAAACAAAACAAAACAAAAACTTTGAGAACAAATAAAACATCATCAAGTAGTCAATAAAATGTCAGGACAATCAGAATCAAGCACTTCCCAAAGTACCCAGCCAGGTCCACGACAATGATTAGCAAAACTGTATGACTTTCATGTGTGAAAGTCTGAGCAATTTAAAATGACATTCTACTTTTTTTTTTTTTTTTTTGGCACCGTTTGGTGTTCTTAATTATCATTTGGATGAAGACCCAGGATTATAACTGGAATACAGGGTATTAGTTACCAAGTGTTTGTAACCTAACTTTCATGTGTGTAGGAAATGCTGAATAGTTATTGTGACTTTTTTCTGTATTGTAGTTTAAATATATTACCAAAACAACTGAAGCTGGTGTGATTATATTGCATTATTTTGACAAAATACACAGAATTTTTAATTTTTTGGCACAGAATTTTTAGGTGCAGAATCCCGCCCCCCCCCAGGAGCAAAGATGGGATCTCAGTGAAGAAAACATCCCAATGGCTATAGCTGCCAACTGTGTCCTGCATAATGTCTGTGAAGCAAAGGAAGAAAAGTCGCCGCTGTGGTGGAGGACAGAGGTAGAGCGGCTGTTTGCGGAGTTGGAACAGCCAGACATGAGGGCTATTAGAAGAGCTCAACGCTCAGTGAGGCTTTGAAAGAGCAATTTGAAATGAGCTACAATAAGGCATTGGGGTATAGTGGGCTCTACCTGGCCCTGCAGTTTTGGGGCCTGTTGGGAACTGTGTGGTTCTTGGGGCACATCTGTGAATACAACACTGTCAATGCACCGATTAATTTTGTGGTGCTTGCTGAACATTTATGATTACTGCACTGTTTTCTCTTCACTGGTTCTATGAATTGTGTCACACTGAACAAAGAAGAAGTGGGGCTTTTAGTACCGGTAGGCATTCTGCAGCATATGTTGGAACTAGTAAAGATGATTTTCCAAACAACAGAATTTTATTTTGTAACAAAAACACGGGACAAATACAAATCTGTGCAAGTTAAAAGCAAATACATTAAAAATTTAAGTTTCTGGAACAGAGCTTAAGAATGGGAGAGAGCATTCATGGCCAATTAAGTACATAAACACTGACCTGTGGGTGTACTTAATGTCCTCAGTGTGGAGTGGCTGGGATGCACCCCCTCGATGCCACATGGGCTATGGGAAGAGGGGTACAGGGGGGTGTTTTAATGGAGTTCTCCATTAACTGCAAAGGGAGCCAAGCCCAAGATTGTCAAATCTGTAGGTCCACAAGAGTCTGTAGCATCTGTCTTTGCTGCCAGAGAAGCCCCATTATAGCTTGGTGCATCTCCTTCTCCTTCTAGGACTTCTGGGCTTTTCTCCTGTCCACGCTTTCCTTTTCCATACAGTTTGCAACACTCACCCTCCAGGCCCTCCGCTCACGGTCTGATGTCGCTTTGGCTTACAGGATCTCACTGAACATGTCATTCCAAGTCCTCTTCTCCTCCTCCTCCTCATCTGGCTTGGGTGTTCTGAGGGTGTGAAGGGGGAATTTCCAAGGCTGCAACAGCAAGAGCTGCAGATAACACAACACAGAAGTACCGTTTTCAATATAGTCACAACAGAAAGCAAGAGTTAAGATTCAGAACTCACTTCCCTTGCTCCCCTAACGTTGTAAACAAGACACGCTTATTGGATACTTCTGCTTCAGAGTGCTTGTGCATGGTATCACTCACAGCACCAATCATGGTGAGTACGGCCCTCCAGGGATGAGGAAAATGAAGAAATTGCTCAGTTGCATGAAACTGTGAGTTCAGGGCACTGGCACCGAATCATGGCATCATTTTCCACAGGCAGTGGTGATTTTAGCTGAAGGTGACAAAGGCACAGCCAGCACTGCTGCCGATGGCATCCCAAAGCCGCATGGGCCCATATGCTGCTAGCCTGTTTACCACAAAGTAATTGCCGATTGGCATGGGAAAAGTGTCCTACTACGGAGGGAGAAATAAGGCTGCCATCCCTAGAAACCTTAGGGAAAGGATTGCAGAGTACCTCCAGGAATGGTTTATTGTCATCTCTCAGGATGATTCAAGGGATACCCCTGAGCTCATAAACTGCTTTGTACCCTGGGAATGAAAACCGATAGTGGTGCAGCAGAGAGGTAGAATTACCACCTCTCCTAGTACGAGTAAATTAACAAAAAGTCAACAGCTGTGTCCTGTTAAGTTGGGCGTGCCATCAGTAATCAATTGTAATGGGAAATACATGTACACACTTACCTGAGGTTCCGTCTCCTGCATCAGGGTCATCCATGTTCAACTCCCAGGACTAACTGGACTGTGGTGGAATTTCAAACAGGTCATGGTTTGCAGCATAGCTGGAGCCTCCAGTCACATGTCCCCTATCCTCCTCTCTGTTCACGTCAGGGGCCTGCAACTCAGGCTCCTCAAAAGGTATCCAAAATGATCCAAGGGGTGGTGGTGGGGTTTCCACCAACTATGACATGCAGCTCTTTGTAAAAGTGGCAGCTCTGCAGCTTTGTGCTGGATCAATCGTTGGCCTCCCTTGCCTTCTGATATGCCTACCACAATTCCTTTGCTTTCGTGTGGCGCTGCTTCTGATTCCTGCCGTACCCCTTCTGCATCCCTTGTGCAATCTGCTCATAGATGTTCACATTTCTACAGCTGGTCCGTAGCTGTGCCTGCACAGCCTCTTCTCCCTGCAGGCCCAGGAGATCCAATATCTCCTGTCTACGCTAGGCTGGAGCACGTCTGGAGAGTGTAGCTGGCATAGTCAGCTGGGCAGTTGCACACAACAATGGAGAGCTACTAAGTGTGCTCACCAAACTGGACAATCAGGAAAGAGCATTTCAAAATCTGCGGGGTTTTAAAGTGTATGGGGTGGGGGTGGGGGCGAAGGGCTTCCAGATTACCCATGGACAATGCAGTTCACAATTGTGACCAGAATGGTCAGTGTCAGGCATTGTGAGTCAGCTGATGGAGCACTGTTGGGGCAACATAGGTAACAGTGTCTACACTCACTCTGCATTGACCTGAGTACATTGACCATGGCTCAACGCTGCACACAGGTGGTGCTACTGTGTCACCATAACAGGGCACTTACATTGGTGGGAGACAAATTTAAGTGTAGACACATGCACACGCTTACGTCAACCTAGCTTTGTAGTGTACAGCAGCTCAAGATGGTCTTTGGAAAAAATATCAATCTGCCCTCCAAGCAGTTAAAGAACTTGCTGCACTTCTCAAAAGCAGCAATTAAAGAAACAGCATCTGCCTGGAAAGTGATTTTCCTACCTTGGTCACCTTCCAATTTCACACACAGTTTCCTGATTTTCCACTCAGTGATTTTAAGAGTCTCATCAAGCTTTCATGTTTACCTTTAGAGTCAGAGATATCTCCAAGGCCAAGCTGTGAATAAAGTGATCAAGGATATTAGCATTCAAATAAATCCTAGCTCTTCAGAGACTAACAATGAGAGGTAAGAGCAGCCAACTGACACAGATATACTGTATAGATCAAACTAAATCAAAAGCAAATGTAGAGAAGAGGAAAAACAAAGGATCTGTTCAGTCTTCCCAGAGAGGTTCCTAAATAGCAAATCCATGAGCCATCCGGTCACACTACCTCACAATTGCAAGAGCATGGATTCTCCCAAAGGCTGATGGAAAAAAGCATTTTGTTTACAAGTTGGTATAAGAGCAGATGACACTGGAGAGGGAAATGGAACTTTTGTAACAAGATGTATACAAACCAGTGGTGCAAGTAGAATTCATTTACTGGTACGGCCCCCCCCCCCACTGCCCTTCCACGCAGCTGCGTCTGAGTCCTGTCTGGGGGGTCTGCACAGCAGCCCCACCAGAGGACAGAGCTGGGGGTGGGGGTGAGGCTGGGGGCATTACAGCTGTGCTGGAGGAGCTGCCAGCATGGGGTTCTGCTCCTTTCATCACTATGCTTCCTGGGAGAGCCTTGAACCGCAGGGCTCTCCTGGGAATTGAAGCACCGAAAGGAGCAGAACTTGGGACTGCCAGCCGGCCCCATGCTGGCAGCTCCTCTATTGCGACTGTACTGCCCCCAGTCCTGTCCTCCAGTGGGGCAGCTGTACAGACCTCGGATAGGAGACGCAGGCACGCAACAGCGTGGAAGGCCGGGGGCAATACAGCCATGCCGGAGGAGCTGCTGGCATGTGGGCCGCCAGGTGACCCCATGTTCTGCTCTTCCTGTGTCTTTCCGGTACGCCATACCGGCCATAAATAGCTTACTGGTATGGCTTACTGGACCGTACCACCCTACTTGCACCACTGATACAAACATTCTTCCCAGTGACCCTTGTGGCAAATTTGGCAGTAAAAGAGCCAAAGCTTTTGGTAGTCGCAAGTTACTGTATTACATTATAAATACATAGTGTAAGGATTTAACAAGATGTCTTCCATACTCATTCTAAGATGTGAATTTACAATATGAGAGAAAAGGAGTACTTGTGACACCTTAGAGACTAACCAATTTATTTGAGCATAAGCTTTCGTGAGCTACAGCTCACTTCATCGGATGCATACTGTGGAAAGTGTAGAAGATCTTTTTATATACACACAAAGCATGAAAAAATACCTCCTCCCACCCCACTCTCCTGCTGGTAATAGCTTATCTAAAGTGATCACTCTCCTTACAATGTGTATGATAATCAAGTTGGGCCATTTCCAGCACAAATCCAGGTTCTCTCACCCTCTGCCCCCCCCCCGCAAACTCACTCTCCTGCTGGTAATAGCTTATCCAAAGTGACCACTCTCCTTACAATGTGTATGAAAATCAAGGTGGGCCATTTCCAGCACAAATCCAGGTTCTCTCACCCTCTGCCCCCCCCCCCGCAAACTCACTCTCCTGCTGGTAATAGCTCATCCAAACTGACCACTCTCCTTACAATGCGTATGATAATCAAGGTGGGCCATTTCCAGCATAAATCCAAGTTTAACCAGAACGTCTGGGGGAGGTGGGTAGGAAAAAACAAGGGGAAATAGGCTACCTTGCATAATGACTTAGCCACTCCCAGTCTCTATTTAAGCCTAAATTAATAGTATCCAATTTGCAAATGAATTCCAATTCAGCAGTTTCTCGCTGGAGTCTGGATTTGAAGTTTTTTTGTTTTAAGATAGCGACCTTCATGTCTGTAATTGCGTGACCAGAGAGATTGAAGTGTTCTCCGACTGATTTATGAATGTTATAATTCTTGACATCTGATTTGTGTCCATTTATTCTTTTACGTAGAAACTGTCCAGTTTGACCAATGTACATGGCAGAGGGGCATTGCTGGCACATGATGGCATATATCACATTGGTGGATGTGCAGATGAACGAGCCTCTGATAGTGTGGCTGATGTTATTAGGCCCTGTGATGGTGTCCCCGAATAGATATGTGGGCACAGTTGGTAACGGGCTTTGTTGCAAGGATAGGGTCCTGGGTTAGTGGTTCTGTTGTGTGGTATGTGGTTGTTGGTGAGTATTTGCTTCAGGTTGGGGGTCTGTCTGTAGGCAAGGACTGGCCTGTCTCCCAAGATTTGTGAAAGTGTTGGGTCATCCTTCAGGATAGGTTGTAGATCCTTAATAATGCGTTGGAGGGGTTTTAGTTGGAGGCTGAAGGTGACCGCTAGTGGCGTTCTGTTATTTTCTTTGTTAGGCCTGTCTTGTAGTAGGTGACTTCTGGGAACTCTTCTGGCTCTATCAATCTGTTTCTTCACTTCCGCAGGTGGGTATTGTAGTTGTAAGAATGCTTGATAGAGATCTTGTAGGTGTTTGTCTCTGTCTGAGGGGTTGGAGCAAATGCGGTTGTATCGCAGAGCTTGGCTGTAGACGATGGATCGTGTGGTGTGGTCAGGGTGAAAGCTGGAGGCATGTAGGTAGGAATAGCAGTCAGTAGGTTTCCGGTATAGGGTCGTGTTTATGTGACCATTGTTTATTTGCACTGTAGTGTCCAGGAAGTGGATCTCTTGTGTGGACTGGA